AGAAACAGGAAAAAACACGAGAATAAACAATCTCTATCAGAAGGCCAGAGGGCAAATAAGCCCTCCCTCACTTAACAACGTTCCCAACAACGAGCAAATCCGACCCCCCCCCCTCCAGAGCGTTTCGGAGACAAGAAAAATCAACCATCAAAAAATTTTCTCAGGTTAAATACGACTCATCTTCCCCGCGACCCAATACTCTCCGCGGATCTTCAATATTGATGCGGCCCGAATGAAATGGAATGGGAGATGACATTTTAAATTCAACCAAGTTTTTCCACTCTGAATTCCGCAGTTTCTAGAAGGTTAGTAATACAAGAAGTCTTCCTACACCTCGGGCTTGTACTCAGACTTCTTCTGGGATACCTGAGAGAAATTAGATGCTCGACGAATTCTTCCAGTGTAGTTAGCGCTGAACCTAATCTTTTGTTACCGTGTCCAGCCCGCTGTATTAAAATGGAGTTGGGAACCTTTTCATGTGTATTATATCGTCCGTATCAGTTGTCACTATGTTTACGGAAATCTACACGAATGACTCTCTACTCTGAGCAAAATACCGCCCTGACAGACCTCCAGTCCTTTAAAAAAAACTCATTGAAAGTAACTTGCATTCGAATGAGATGACGGTCACGTAGGGGACACAATTTAGAGAATTTCCTGCATCAGTCGGAAGCATAATGCTCTATTCCTAGCAATTGGAGCCCTATGTTTGCCGGTCTCTTCAACGCGATTAATGATCCTCAGACAATAGTGGAGAGCTTGTCACCGTCGTCTTTGTGCGCTGAGCTGTCAGGGATCGCACAATTAGCAGGAAAACGAGATTAGAAGTGGTGGCTATAAAAACCCTCAGAATGCGATAGGATTTCAGCTCCTTAGAATGTTTATGAGCTCTCCAGGATCATACACTATGTGAATTTCCGCCGTAAATAAGGGACCCTTCCGCAATCGTTTGTGTGTTCTGGCAGCGATTATTATGAGTATTTCAATTAGTTTTGTTTTCTCGGCTGTCCTGATTCCTCCGCTGAAAATTACACCTGCCAAGCTACTTGTTTCTATTCGAAGGTCCTCGATTAATTTACTGCCTTAATTCGGTAGACATACATGACATTTTTTCCACTTTAGGGTATGATTTTTTGAGGAAACCATGAAGGGGATACCTTGGTCAACTGGGAGGGGAAGGTTCTGGTAGAAAATTTACTGGATCACGTGAATTTTCCGTTTCCTGACTTTTCTCGTATTTTTCCGTTTCGTGTCGCTACATATCCAGCCAGAGTAGAGTAGAGTCGTTGTGTGAAACACCTAGGGGGTTCTACTTCTCTGCTGGGAAGGGGGTCGTATTTGGTCGTTGTTGGGAGAGAGGGAGGTCGTATGGGGCCTTGAGTGGAATTAACTGAGTCGGGAAAAATTTTTTCCTAATAGTTGCCTTTTGTGATTTTTCCTGTTTCATGTGTACTAAAGACCCCACGCCTCTCCCCCCACCACAGTTCGACGGAAAATTTTTGGGTGAAACACTGGAAAAGGATAATCGGTAGGTAGGTGATGGGGAAAGGGGTCGTACTGACACCACCACTTCACACATCACGATGCTTTGCCCTGCAGCTCGCACACTCACTTGCCAGAAGCGCATAACTACCATTTAACTGTTATTTGTCATAGTTCAAGTTGATAGTTGATGGGCGATGATTCCGATCCCAGCTTAAGAGAAAGGAAATTTTTTTAGAAACTTTATTGGGAATTGGGAGAATTTAGGTGCATGATATGTGGCACAGGGAAAGGGGTTGTATCAGATGAAGAACTTTTTGAGTTAGTTTTAAATTTTTTTCGTATCAACACCGGCATTCACGCATAATGTTATTCTACCCTGGTCCATATCTCAATTAAATATTCTCAGGATTGTGGTGATGAAGTCTTGTTCTGAATCCGGTAAACATTCCAGCATCGTCAATTCGGTTTCCGACCGTTGCTCTCACTGTACATCAAGGGACTATACGGCTCTGCTACATTTATGGCTAAGCGGTAGTACGTCTGACCTTACCAAGTCCCTTCTCCCGGATCCACCACGCACTTGATTCCTATTTCGAATTGTGTTGGCCTTTTGAATACGATCTGGCCTATACAACAACTTGATGACTTGCCGACATGTGGGAAAGAGATCCAATCTTTGCGAACTTTACTGGCACGTTTACCGGCTACAGAGGGGAGATGGGCTCGATCAGCTCAGTTTGTAAGTCGATCGAAGGCCTGACCAATGGAGTCACTCCCCACTATAGCTGTTCCCACCTTAGATAATATCTGTCAACACATACAGGGTAAGCGCTTTTCCTCAGTGAAGAATACTCGAAATGCCCGAATAACTGCAAAAAATATCAGCGATAAGTCGTGAGGAAATCGGAGATCTTCCCATGATGGGATACTGTATTCGATTTGACAGTGGTTCGTCTCCGCCTGTTTACAGTAATACTTGTAAACATGCATGTGCGAATATTGGACTTTTTTACAGATGCGCAACAGTCTTTCTATACTTGCTGCCCTAACCGTGGCCTCATCGTCAGCCTTGCCAAGTGCAACCGTGAGTTTATCAAATATTGATTGCCCCCCTCTATACTAGTTCAATACTATTAAATCTTGTAGGATGTAGGATCGATTACTACACTGAGAGCTAAACGGCAATGCTCCATGGGCAGATGTGGCACCACTCCGATATGCAATATTTGCCCAGTATGCTGCTCGGATTCACCTCAAATGATCATGGAAGTACCGCAACAGAGGAGTTGTTGTGCATCTCCGAGACCGTCACCAAGTTGCTGTCAAGCGCCACCTCCACCACCTCCACCTCCTCCGGTTGTTTCGACCGTCCAGTGCTGTAGAGCTGCTCCTGTTCCTGTAAACCCTTGCTGCCAGGTACATCGTTAATTTCTCGGTTTCATAGCTATCGCTTGCAACTAATTACGTAATATTTATGCTGTTCAGGCGCTAATACCTGCACCAGCGCCACCACCTGCAGATCAAGAGCAATGCTGTCTCGCTGCACCATCTCCAAACAATATTTGCTGTCGAGAGATGGCCCCAATGCCGGCTCCACCTCCTTGTAGATGTGGTGCTCGTCCTAGTGAGATGGAGTGCCCCGGATGCATGTCCTACAAGCCAAGGCAATTTTTCATGTTTTTCCATACTTCTGAAATATGGCCAGACTTTTAAACGTACCATTGGGTTTTCACTTTCAGATGTCCTCCGATGTCGATCTCCTGCAGATTAGCGTTCCGTGCCCGAAGAGACGCCTATCCCAGTCTGCTCCCTCGTCTCGACTCACATTCATTGTGAAGCGTCATCATTCATTAATTTAATTAATTTGATTCTAATCGTTACGTATTATTAAATATTGACAATCACGACAAGTTCAATCACAAAGAATCGAGCTGCGCAGCGAGAAGTGCAAAGAGTGGAGCTAGGCGGTGGCAGTAAGGGATCCCCGCTGGGCACACCATCTATAAAGCCCTTCCTACTGATAATGTTCAAAGGTGAAAATTCGTCGAGCTTCTGTTCGAAAGACCGGAAAAGAGCCTGGGAGTGCATATAGACGAGCATTCGAGATACATCGGCGAGCGAATTGCTTTTATGAGAGACTACTCAAGTAATTACGCATCATAAGCCCCTTAAGCAACTGTCTGACGCAAAACTGGTACAAGGTTCTTAAATAGTCCACACTACTTTGTGCTATGCGAAGCTCTGCTTCTTGCAAGAATCGCAAAACGTGACTTTAAGAGCACACTTTTAGGTTGCTGTGTAGTCGATTTGTTAAGCTTTTTCCTCTGGCGATAGTAATCCGACTGACTGTTATTTGATGTCATGGCAATCAAGAAATTTCGATAATTGCGGTTGGCACACAATTATCACCTGCCAGCCCAGTTGCCTCGGCCCCATATGGGTGGCCACTGGCACAAATGTGTGGAGAAGAGGTAAAAGTCATTTAAGGCACCGTTCAGACTTCGTGACGGCAGCACTTCGGTCGCGCGTGCAACGCGATCGATGCACATGCTTTCATCCGCATCGATTGCGCCTCTAAGGCAGCGTTCACACTTGTAGCGCTACAGCGTCGCGCTACTGCGTCGCGCTACAGCGTCGCGCTACGCTACAGCGTCGCGCTACTGCGCTACAGCGTCGCGCTACAGCGTCGCGCTACAGCGTAGCGCTACAGCGCCGCTTCGGACCGTACTGCTGTTTCCAACGTTAGGATGATTAGAGTTGCTTACAGAGAAAAGGTGGAAGGTTGCTGGAGTTTTCTTGAGAAATGAAACCAAGAAAGAAAGAAAAGAAATGAGACCGTTATAATTGGTTTTATTTACCGTGTTTGACTTTAATTATTTGGTTTCAGAGTTGCTATTGATGTTTGATGGCTTTGCTTGATGCCTTGCAGTGGTGCCTCACGTTGACTCCGATGACGAAATAGTTTTTGGCATCCACGTACAAATGGCAAACCAACACACATTTCGTTCAGTCGCATTTGTCGTCAGCAGAAAAAAATGGCCTTATCTCCCACAACAGGCACGCGAAGACTGTCTGGTCACCAATGCGTTAACACAAGGCGAACAAGAAGTTCCTTTATGGTTCTTGTGTCTCCGGTAAAAAAAACATGCGTGCTTGTTTTTAGGTGGCGCGAGTACTCTTTGGGTGTTTTTTGCAGAAAATGCTCTTAATAGGACAGAAGGACACTGTTACGCTAAAAGCAGTACCAGAAAAATAGTGACTAATGGAGTAACTGTCAAGGATGGCGTCAGATAGTTACAGCTGTATCAGTCTCACCTTTCCGTGAATTTCTCAAGAAAACTCCAGCAACCTTCCCACTTTTCTCTGTAAGCAACTCTAATCATCCTAACGTTGGAAATAGCAGTACGTTGCGAAGCGGCGCTGTAGCGCGACGCTGTAGCGCGACGCTGTAGCGCGACGCAGTAGCGCGACGCTGTAGCGCTACAAGTGTGAACGCTGCCTAATGTGTATCTCGCTGATCGCTTCGTTCGCTGAGTCAGCTTTCCTTGTCATTTTTCTGGGGGTAAGGGGGGATGAAGGAGATGTACACTCGAAATCCTTGAGATGCAGTAGGCGTGGCATCGTACTTCACCTTTACGTGAAAAGCTTTTGGTGAGATATCTTCATTTTGACACACTTGTGATCATGCTTCTGTCTAGCACTGAACAAGATGACAGCTGTCCCAAACAAAAGTATAACAAAAGCAACCCATTCTACACGTTTGTTGCCACGCCCACTCCCACTCAGGATATAGAGTGTGGAACCGAGCTGTCAACCAGCCTAAGGTTAACGTTAAAGGGTTTTCGTTATCACGATGTGCGTCAGAATATTCCACACATGCTCCCGATTCTTTTGGAAATGAGCATTTTAAAGGCCTTTACATGTATAGCCTTTCGCTGCAGATGACGGGGCGTATCAAGGATTTGGCGCGACGTCAGCCCATCTTCATTTTCTTTCGGCGAAGGACGTAGTCATTCGTAATGTTCCCAGCATTCAGCCGCTCAACGCTTCAACTACTTGAAGGAGAACGAGTTGGCGGAGTGCCAAACCAGCAGTCTACACTCTAGTTCGCTGCGGACGGTTGGGCGTGTCAGCCAGTATGAGTGTGTCACCCCGTCAAAGCCGTTCTCTGCCTTCTTGTTGAAACGCGCATGCGACAAAAAGTGGTAGAAAACGAGTAATACGAAGGATATGATACAGTATTGTCACTTGCCCGCTTCAACAACTGGTGGAGAACGAGTTTGGCACCGCGCCAAACGCAGCCGCACTGACACGCCCAACCGTCCGCAGCGAACTACACTATACTAGCATCCCTAGGGTAATGTCAAGCAAAGCTAGACAGACTTTACCACCTCATTCCACGTTTTTAGGCCCTTGATTTGCTTGCATTTCATCAGATCAACGCCCCTTTGGCATATTCCGATGAGGGCAGTTGAAAATTTGTCAAGAAAGTGAAAAGATGAAAAAGAAAACAATTAACGGCTTCATTACGTGAGAAGAAATAATAGGAGCCGAGTATTTCAACAATTGAATATCGCCCAACAAGCTAGTGCCCTTCTTCTGATTGGGTTACATCCAAGTCGTCCGTCTGTTCGTGCTCCTCATCTGCATCTCCACGCCCAGGTTCATCCAAGTCCTCCGCTTGTTCATTCCCCTCATCTGCATCTCCACGCCCAGGTTCATTCAAGTCCTCCGCTGGTTCATACTGCTCATCTGCATCACCACCCCTAAGTACACTGAAGTCCTCCGTGTGTTCATACTCCTCATCTGCTTCGCCATGCCTAGGTCTGAATACTGAAATATTCAACTTCAGAATGAGTTGGACCACATTTATTGGTATCTGTCGCCCATATCAGACGGAAAAAAGTGTCCCGGCAAGGGTCACACTCCCACGCGGACTTCCCGCTCCAATACACTTGTCTCCGCTTGGTTCCGCTTTCGCAGCAACACCTTGTGCTTCCCTCTGATATGGACGATATGGACTTCAAAGAAGAAAAGTTCATCGGAGAGCACCAGGAAGATTTGGTTCGAAGACGTTTATGGACAAAGTGAACCTAATCCTTAAAAATCATCTCCGATTTCCTGTTTTTCTCTGCAGTCTCTCGTTTACATGGCGTTCGTGGCCTCTGTGATTTCACATATCATTACTTTTCGCGAACAGGTAAGTGCTCTACCCTCCTTCAACTCCTCTCCCCCGAAAGAGCAATCCCATAGCCTGCCACATGTTTTGTTGCAGCTGTCAATGCTTTGGCAACCGCTGCCCATTAGATGTATACGCTGCGTGGTTTCGCAACAGGACCATGCGGAAAGGTACTAGTTGAGAGTGCTGTGGTTAAGCATAGACCTGATCTCTCAGATATGTTCGAAACGGCGCCAAAACAATGGGTTAGTATTGAATTGATTATCTAATTGATTGTTTTGCGTAAAAGAATTACCTACTTTCACGACGACGCATGAGGCGCCCTCCATCACCCTCAATAATAGAGACGTCCAAGTCAGACGAATGAAACTGAATGAAGTTTAAGTTTTATCCCATAATACTAGGAAGTAAATGACAAACAGTTATGCTAACGATAGCTTACATTCGACAAGTTAAGAGAGGTGCACACTGCATTGGAATATACGGTCGATTCGTTGCCCTCGCATGAGCTAGAAATATCGTCATGCGGCACTCGAACCAAAAGAGCATCGTTCAACAGTGGAGGACCTTAAAGGAGACAAGTGAGTAAAGAGTAAAATGATGGACTTAGAAGATTCCTGAAGCGACTTCGCACCCTCAGAACAGTGTGGGGTTACGATGTGTATTTAAGGCAACGTTCATACTTTGCCATGACACGCGTCAACGTGCTGCACCGAGTCTGCTCAGAAGCGCCTACCAGCGACCAATAGCGTTCACCAGAGTTCCGCATTTCTGGCGGTATCAGTGACTAGGAAAATACGGATTTTGATCTAGCGTCCGCCAGCATTTGCCAGCGCCTACCAGTGTGCCAGCGTCCACCAGCGATCAGAAGCGTCTCGAAAGCTAGGGAAGCAAGGGTATGGATTTAGCGTCTGTCAGCGTCTACCGGCGACCAGCAGCGTCCGGATAGTGGAGAGTAAGCGGTGATAGTACGGTAGCAGACAGGTGGTAAGAATTGATAGAGGGTAGCAGACACCTAGTAAAGTATTATGAGAGGAGGGTAGCAGACTACTGGTTGCTGCTGGACGCTGGTAGACGCTGGCAGATGCTTGATCGATACCTGTACTTTCCTAGCCTTCGAGACGCCGCTGGTCGTTTTAGAGCTGGAAGACGCGAGATCGACATCTATGCTTTCCTAGTCGCTGAAATTGCCGTATGCTCGGGATGTTGGTGGACGCTCTTGGTCGTTGGTGGGCGATACCGCAAGGTATGAACGCATCGTACGGCAGAAGTGGAAGGTACGCGCAGTCCGCGGTCTAGCATCGATCGGTTCTGGCTGCTAGCGGCGCCGATCAATGCTAGACTGTGTAATGCAACGCGCATGACAAATGCGCGACAACGGCGTCTGCGACTGCTTCGTGCCTATAAAATTGCAGCGCTGCTACAGCGGGTAGCTGCGCGTCAACGTGCGCCATCGCGAATTAAGTTGCCTCAGTGCATACAACATAAGTGTACAATAGTTTGGTCTCGCTGATGTTTGGATCTATGTTGTTCCACTTTCAAGCCTAGACAATCACCATGCTTTCTACTATCTAGTGGTGCGAGTAACTGACCTGGTTCTAGTCCAAGCACAACCTCTTCCTTGTACAAATCATGTTCGACTGAGCTGGTCTTGTGGAACATCGCGACTTTGTTCGATGTCGGACTCCATGAAGCTGTTTTTTGCCTGAATTTCGTAAAATTTAGAAAAAGAAAATAGGGGTAAATCGATGAGAGAACTTATCTTATCAGCCTTCTCCGCTTCGTCTCCCATTTCGGTATTTGATAGCGTTTGGACCTTAAACATTCCCGATCCAAAGAAATATTGAGCAATTAAAACGGTTCAGCTGCACAGAGTGAAGAAGTAATCAAAATACAAGTTGTGTTTCCTCGTGTCGAAGTGAACAGATTATTCGAATGAGGGAAGATGGTGCACTCAAAAGGATGAGGCACTCAACAAGGGTTATGTGACAAGACAATCGCAAAGACGTCTTTTGTCGCGCATCGCCGCACGATGTGCCCCGCATGACGGCGCGATGACTACGGTGCCTTGAAAAGATTTTGGTGTAAATTAGTGCCAATGCGCAGGCGCCTGAATGAATATATATTCGGGACCGGGGCAGCGAGTAACCCTTATAAACGATGTTTTGGTTAAAGATAGTTGTAGTTGTTTAATAGCGCCGAGGAAAGAGAATTACAGATATAAAAGTAACATATTAAAATGACTGAGAGAAAACTACATCGCAAAATACACCACAATCAATAAAGGAGTAGTTTGTGCAGAAAAACATGCACAATGGCCGATAAACGTGCTACACGAACCGACAATAGTTACGACACTCCACATCCCTCTTTTAAACGCAACAACTGCAATAATACTGCACGAAGCACCGACTACAGAGTCAAAAAAATAAAAGCTGTATTTCCTATTCCGAAAATGGTGGATCACTGAGCAGCACGTTTGGAAAACAGCCACGGCTTAAAATGCTGGCACAACAACTGCGGGAACACCACTCCACCCCTTCCCCTCAGGACCGCCACGTCCTTTAAAGTAGCCCGTTCCAGCCACATGGCCTTTTGGCTACTCTGCAGCCTGTAGTTGAATTTTCATTAATTTCTCTTTTTCCGTTCCTAACAGGCCAGCTACCTAAGCACTTGTCACTTTGCATCTGCACTAGCGTGAAGATGCTGAGGATTGCGGAATAAGTCAAGAGGGAAAGAACTGGCAGAGATGGCACACTGTAGCTCCGTAAGCACATGGAACTGCATCTTTCTCCGATCACTGGACCAATTTGTTCTGAACAGGATCACAATCGCCCAGAGTATCGTAATGAACCTCAGGCGAAATCCGCCGATCTTGACTTGTGCGATTTGTGCGCCGTTACTGGACCGTCTCCGAGGGAGATGATCATGGGCTTGCTTCTTAAGAATTTCCACTCCTCATCGCCTCAAAAGCCACGATACGGGCAATGGATGACAAGGACATTACTCCTTAGCGCTAATGTAGATAGAGGGGACCAGGTGGCGAAGTTTTGCAGAAGAACTCACTGACGAGCGCTCGCGTAGCGTATCGCCGCAGCGATGGCGCGACGAGAAGGGAGCAAAATCTAGCGCTGCATCACTGCAGTCTTGAAGCAGTGATCTTTCTGGCACTTTGCCAATGGAAGGTACGCAGCATCAGGGCAATGGGGAAGGCAGGAAGGAAGAGATGATGACTGATTAACAGCACTGTGACATAGAAGGCAGCTGGAAAGTTGTTTCGAGTTCGGTTGGAACATTTCATAAAAAAGCAGATACCGTCGCGTTTACCGGTCAATTTGTAAATGCGCACCCTGCCGCTATAGACTAAAGGCGTGGTGGCAGCCCATGTCAATGTCTAGCACTTCGGCGCACCATAACCGCGAAATCGCACGACATGCGCCGCGCGCGCCACCTGTGAGTTTTCTCTCTCACGGAGGCGACATTATTTCGCTACGGCCGTGGTCGTTCGCACTCTCCTAAGCCTGAAAGAGAGAGAAAACGAAGCGATATCTTCCAGGGCGTCGCGGGTCTCCCTAGTCAACCCTAGCTTCGACAACTGGTGGAGGGCAGGCTCCTACCACGCCAAACCCAGCCCCTGACACGCCTCAGCGTCTGCAGCAAAAACGAACTGTATGCCTTTGCTACCAGTGATGAGAACAGGGTACTGCAACAGCACATCTATGAGTGCAGGCAATAAATAAATAGAATATCCTGAATCAAAATAGGAAGCTACGTAAGTACAGCAATGTTACATAGATGGGTGGTACAATATGGACCTGTAATTTTCAAGTCTCAAACTGTTCATATCGTTCAAGGGAAAGCATCTTGGCCCTCAAGTTTTAAGGGCTATTTCATCTTACAAATAGATCAGGCCAAATGAAGTTGGTTGTGCCAGGATTGCGCTGGCTATTTCAAAGGCGATAGGCGACTGCACAAAGCAACCTTCGTTGCTGCTACCGCGTCCTTTAAAGGTCTGCAGCGTAAGGTAGGTCCCGCCACGATCCTACTGGGTGGCGTCATTGATCACAGCGCAGTTGTTCTTCCACGGCCTTCCGGGTAGGTCACCATGTGTTTCTTTTCCTTCATTTTCAGTTTCTCTAAAGAAAAGATTCGCGCTTAGCGCCCTGCATACCAACGGCCGCGTCACTGGCACAGCAATTTCGGATGCTTGCTCAAGGTGCCGTTGTGGTCTCCGGACTATCTCTAACAACAGATACGAGCTGGCGACGCTGGTGTCGCTGGGTGGACGCTGGTTCTATGATTGAAGGAATATCATTACGGTACATATTCGAAGCTGCGCTGACACCGAAGAAGATATGTGCAACGCGCTCTCTGTGAGAAGAGACGCTTATCACAGCATCAGGACGAAGCAAGCCCAGATACCATAATAAGCCATTACAATACCGACATAAAACAGGGCTAGCAGAAGCGATGCTTCATGCCAATTTGCTCGTAACGAAAAGTAAGCAACAAGAGCTGCTATAGACAGTTTCACGGAAGGCTCAAGGGAATGTACTTTAAGGAGTAAAATCTTTGTGTCAAAAGACATGCGCGAAACAATTGCACATGGAGGTGTAAAAACCGTAACACAGATACAGTGAATCTCGACTAATACCAGTTGAAAACATTCTCGGCACACTCCAACGACAGCTCCGACCAGTGGTCTTTGCTCTCTTCCTTCTCGCAAGTATAGTACCGAGCATGGCGAAAAAAAGAGAAGACGCGGCGCGCATGGCGAGAGGCAGACCAATCGAAGAGCGAGAGCATGCGCACAGCATACACGTTGCGAAACGCTCAAGAAACCTCCATTCAAGACCTAGGGAGGATGGACCATATAGGCATTTTCTCTTTCTAACAATTGGCAATCGCACCTGTTTCCGATCAGGAGTCGCAGAAATTCTAGATAGTTTCTAACCTTAGTGCTTAGCTTTTGACTCCAATTTGTTTTGGTCACACACCTCTCGACTTAAATGCACGTGCGAAACGGAAACTAGACTACTTCCTTGAAACCAATAAAGATATAACTAAAAGATATATAAATAAAAGATAAAAATAAAGTTGAATTTTAATGTTTCAGTATATGTATATTATATAACAGGTTTGAACATCAAAGTTATAATCATAAAAGTAAACAGATTAAATAACATGAAAATCGCATTAAATGGTTGCCTTGTCTGTGAGGCTGAAGTCTAACACTCTCAAAAAGCAGTGTCCACGGTAACATATGTTTGCGAGATCACACTCAGTACTGGGAACGTGGCCATTGCTTAATTATCTGGCAACTAAGAATGCGAAGAAAACCTTCAAATGGCTCCGGAAAGAGCTCGTACTTCCCGTTGGTTCTTGAAGGATATTAGACCTTTACAACACGTATGAATAGGTGAGAGTACATTTTCCGAGTGCATTTATGACCTTGTCGACAGAGTCGTTTTCGTTTCATTTCCTTGTCGTTAAGGTTGTAAAAGAAAACCGGTACACCTCTCTCGGCTACTGCACAAACGGAGTGATGCTGAGTTCGGGGCCAATAGTTTATTTTGGACGTGTTAGATATATGAATTAGGTATGCGCGCAGGCATTAAGTACAGGGGGGCCAAAAGAGTCACTTTCTTTCATTGATCTTTCATTGACTTTCGAGGCGCTATAAGTACACTTTATTAAATTCTGATCGGACATTTTTACCACCATATTGAAGAGAACATTAAATACTATCATGACACTCCGCTACAGCCTTCTGGACGAGCGCCATCGACAGATTCTGGCACGCGACGATGTCTTACCTGAGATCAGCGAGATAGTCGATTTCTCCGCCACCGTAGACCACCCTATTGAACTCCGCCCGAACGGGGTAATTGAGGGGATTCAGGTCAGGTGACCTACTTGGATATTCCACCTTCTTTAGGTATTCAGCCCCCTTCCCTTCCAAGTAGGCGATTTCTCCAATGCCCTTCGGTTCCGTGTGGTGGCACCCAATGCTGTAGCAGTACAAAGTTTCAAGAAGGTACGGGCGACGACATGTGAGCGGAGGATATTCTTCACGACTGCTTGAATGTAACCGCTAGCGCTCACCTTCAGTCCGGGGCCCACGAAGAAAATATTGGTCTTTCCATTCCAGGTACATCCGGTCATACCAGCAACGCGCCTTGGCGACGGTGAAGATGATGTCCTAGACCGTGGCGACGTTGTCGGAGCTGTTCGATGTTGGAGATCATCCAGTCCGAGAGTACTGGTCTCCAGGTAGCTATCCATGTGTGACTCCATACTAGAAGTTTCGCAGCTGTTTGGAGGTGACATGAATTCCAAAGGTCTTCTCCAGTCAGGCTGCGACTGGAGATGACTTCATATTTTGGTGTACATGAAGGTGATGGGCGAGAGCCAGCTCCTGCTTATAGAGGAACATCTTGGGTATTTCCGGCCCTGGTACTCGTAACCACGTCTCTTCTGTCTGGGCAGCGAAAACTGTGCTGATATGTGACTCGGTCGAAGTGACTTTTTTTTGCCCCCACCCTGTTTGTTGTGACCTTGTGAGAGTTCGCACTGCATGATGGATTGAGCTTGGTTTGGTTTACGGAAGCTCTAGCTGGAGAGCAGCGGAATGGGCGCGCTCATAGGTGATCATGATCCTT